CTGGACCGAGAGAGAGAGATGAAGGGAGGTCAGCAGCAGAGATGGAGGATGTTATCTTCAGGACCCCCATGAAGGGGGGGGGGTCTCTGCTCCTTGTTTCTCCTTATCTTCACCTCCTCCTAACATTTCTCCAACATCTCCAGGCAGCTGAAGGTCAGAGGCTACAGCTAACGGCTAACGTCCTGTCTCCTCCTGCAGCTGAGGGCAGTGCCCCCCCGACCCCCACCACGCAGGAGTATCAGTCCATGATGTTCTGCGTTCTCTGTCACCACAGGTGTAAATAAATATCACCACAGTGGGTTCTCCTGGTTTCCTCACCTGTGGACTTGTTAACCTCTTAGTGTGTGTGTGTGTGTGTGTGTGTGTGTGTGTCTGTCCAGTCCTGTATCAGGATCCAGCTTCAGAAGTAAAAGTTTTAGTCACCATGACATCATTTGATGATTAGCCCTGATGTGTTATTGTGTGGTGAAGGAGGAGGAGGTGATGGAGGAGGTGATGGAGGAGGAGGTCCATGTGGATGTGATTACAGCTTTTATTTGCTGTGGGACCATCTAATCCTGCTCTTTCTCCTACAACCTGCACCGATATAATATATAAATATATATCAAATATGTATCCATATAATGATAAAAGCTGAACCGAGAATACGGTTCCTGTTCTCCTTTGATCCTGTTCCTGTTCTCCTTTGGTCCTGTTCTCCTTTGATTGTGTTCCTGTTCTCCTTTGATCCTGTTCCTGTTCTCCTTTGGTCCTGTTCTCCTTTGATTCTGTTCCTGTTCTCCTTTGATCCTGTTCCTGTTCTCTTTTGATCCTGTTCTCCTTTGATCCTGTTCCTGTTCTCCTTTGGTCCTGTTCTCCTTTGATTGTGTTCCTGTTCTCCTTTGATCCTGTTCCTGTTCTCCTTTGGTCCTGTTCCTCTTAACTCTGTCCTGTCATTGGATGATGACCGGAGCCGAACAACAAATGGAGGTTGAGGGTTGTCGAGCAGACGAGTCAAAAACGTTATCACCGGACGTTAACGCACCTGCCGCGGCAGACAGAGCTGTCCTTCTGGAAACTTCTAGGTCAAACCTGCGAGAGCGTGTGGCGGTGAGCAGAGAACCAGTGTTTTCACCTGTGTTTCCCAAACCTTATGTTTATTGTTTGGTTAATTATTATGTTCATTAGCTTAGCAGCGAGAGCTAACGTTTCAGTGACGTAGAGCAGAACCAGAGTCAGAAATAATGTGGTATATAGTAGTATTTGAGTTCACTGTAGTAGTATTTGAGTTCACTGTAGTAGTATTTGAGTTCACTGTAGTAGTATTTGAGTTCACTGTAGTAGTATTTGTGGTGATGTGTTCAGGGACTGTCGCTGTGATCACCCCCCCCTCTCCTCCAGGTTCCAGGTTCAAAGGAACCACAGACCCGATCTGAGAGACAGGAATGGTCCTGTCTCTCATTTCAGATGGAGAGTGAAGGGCATGTCCCCCCACCCCCCCCCCCCCCCCCC